AAGGCACCAAGGGGATTGCGTACAAGACGCATCAGTCCTACTTCAAAGAAATCCCGAAAACCTCAAACGTCCTATTGCTGGAGAATGTGGCAGAATACCCTGAAAGCATAGTTCAGCATGAGCTAGGCCCTGCCTGGAGCTTGCAGAGTTGTAGAATCGACCCCCGATGTTTTGGGGCCCCAGCAAGTAGAACTCGGGTCTACATGATCGTATACAAACATGATGAAGTCACGTGGAGAAGCGACGTGACCCTCAACTCGGTTCTGAGCGCCCTCACCTCGCGACTTGTGGCCACATGCTCTATGTACTTCTGGCAGAGGTTACCTGCAACAGTATTGACCGACAGTGAAGAAGCACGTTCGCATTTGGCATGTGGAGCCTTCTTCAACGTGGTTTGTTCTTCAACGCACCCCAACATGGTTACCTTGTTTGAGAACGCTTGAGACATGATGTTTTATACGTTCAAAACAATCCTGGGAAACACGGGAATCCCACTGTTCAGGAACGGAACCTCGCAGACTACAACTCCAGCAAGCTCTATCGGGACAAGACGCTTGCAGACCTGAACCAGCTAGCTCGAAATCAACGAGGTAGGTGCGAAACGGTTGAGGATAGGGCTTTGATGACGCTGACCACCAACAGTGCCCGCATCTACAACAAGGACAGCCTCCGACATTCAGCTCACAACTCCTAACTGTCCTAACTAGACCAGATGGTGGCCCACACAATTACAATGACCACCAAATTGCCATGTTGCGCTTTGCTCGAGCAAAAAAGTTGTCCACCCATTGCCTGCCTTGAGGACAAGAGGAGGCTCCTGTCAGCGGACGAGATGCTTGCGAGTCAGTGCCTTCCTGTGACAGCAGCCCATGCCCGGAAGTGCAAAGCACCAGTGATCAAGACCGATGGAGTTTCTTCAACCCAGGTTGCAAAGATGTCGGGAAACAGTATGAATGTACTTTGTGTCGGAGCAATTTGTTTGACTGCCATTTTGGCACTAGACCCTCGCTGAATCAGCTGGCTTCACTTCACTGTGCGGCAGCCTGCTTGCTAATTAGCCTAACGTCGTGTGCCCTAGCAGGAAAAGCAAACACACGCGTTGGAGTTTGGTAGTCTCTATTTGAATCAGCATGTTCGACAAACGGTTTATCTGGCCCTTTGGTGTTTGAATTCCGCAACTTACACAAGATCAAGTCCCCAGTGGGCCACGGAGCTTTCAATTATGGGGAAACGCGCCGCGCCGTCCGCGGGAAAGAAACCCAAAGTGCTCAAAGAGAGCCACCCATGGGTAGATAGGATCTACAACTGCATCAAGACACCCGACTGACATTGAGAGAAGCCTTTATTTGGGCCACCATCTTCTTAGTAGCAAGTGTCTGACTGGGCAAGTCAATCTATACTGCTTGAGGACCTTCGACCCGGAGCAAGAAGAACACCCTGTCAAGTTTGTCCTGGAGCACCTCAAGCCAGAGATCTATGAACCGATGATGCTGTGGCTAGATGAAATGGGCGTCCCTTTTGAGAAGCCTCAGACTGTTGACCCGGCTACTTGGTGGCCACCATTTAAAAATGAAGGAAACTAAATCCTTAGTGACAAAGAAACTCGACATTGGCTGGCCTGCATGGTTCCACTCAGGCTGTGCTCCGCAAAGAGTCTCCATGTCAGCTTCCTGTCATGGCTTTGCGCTACGTGCGCCCGAGTGACGGGCTACCTCTTCTGCAAGACTGGATATCCAACTCATTGGACATATTCAGTAATGGCTTCGAATCGGCCCGAGAAACCATAGAGATCAAGCCAGCCGGTGAGTCTTGGCCCGTTAGCGCTCTTGAGTTCGGAGGCGCTGTCGTTTGCAAAGGACTTGGCAAAACATCTATTGTTTTCTTTGGCCTTCTCTGGACCTACATCCGACTACGGGAGAATTTGAGCGAGGTAGAAACCCAAGACTTTCGCAGGCTGGGATGGAAGGGTCGTCTTTCGGGCATCCTAAAATGGAAGGGTTCAAAGGTGATGGTCCGAGTGGGAACGTCGTCTCCCACAATATGTTTTTCCTACATTGCCAGGGTTGGTGGAATAATAATCTTATGAATTTTGGGGCTAGGGTCATGTCAAACTATGTGGTTCTTTATAAATAGTATAGACTCACCGAAGTTTTGCTATATTCATCTAGAGTCTGAGGAGGTCCAAAGGTGATGGTCCCAGTGGGAGGGTCGCCTTTGTGGCAAGCCAAACGGAAGACAACCAAAGGTGACCCTTTCATCCTCCCCACTAAGTTCGTGTCTTTGCCGGAGCGCTGTCTTCAGAACACTTTAAGATATAACTATAACCTACCAACTTCTCCTGACACTTCGGGGAAAACTCCACCAACTATCAAAGGTGATGGTCCGAGTGGGAACGTCGCCTTTGGATATTGCGGCGCTGGGTCAAAAACATGGAACCGTCGTCTTTAGATATTGCGGGGGGCTGTCCCTATCCCGAAACCGTCGCCTTGGGAGATTGCGGCCTGGATTCTAAGCCCTATAATGATTACCAAGGTGGTTACTTTCCTTTTCTCTCAGCCTTCTAGTTGCACGTATAAGAAGTAAGGCCTTTGTGGACCGGACACCTCCAAGATTCGAGCCTTGAGTACTTCGCTCAATGGACTTATTGCTTCCCGCCGCCCCGCAAGGTGGGCTGGAAGCTTGAAGGGTGGAGTGTTCTGCCTCGCTCTACAACCGGAGCATGAGAGTCACTACGAGTATCGCCGGATCCAAGTGCATGAACAACAGGCTGAACGTCAGCGTAAAAACCTTATCCAGAAAACTCAGGTTTTTGCCAGGAGAGCTGATGAGATCGTCTTAGAGGAGCCTCTCAGCCTTCAAGCTGGTTGGTATAATGGTTTGAGAGTAGATGGCACAGACCGGTGGTTTACATGGACCCCCACCTTCAAAAATCTTGGTTTGTGCCACCTACTGTTGAAACCATTGAATACAATTATATATTAAAGCTTAGCGCCTTTCTCAAAATCCCACCTCTCCCGAAACAGTGTCCTTTTCAATGGGTTGCACAAGAACAAGTTTTAGGGGTCTGAGGGCCGCTTGCTGATAGCATGCATCTTTTTTTAAAACCAAACCATCGATCGGGGCAGCCAAATTGCAGGATCCCAACAAGTTTGGGGACGACTGGAAGTCTGCCTTTGTCGAAGCTGTAGCCCAGTACAACGCGTTTGGACTGGCTGCGACAAATCCGAAATACCGGATCAGCGACGAGACATGCCAGAGCATGTTTGGGTTTAAGGTGCCTCCTCGCTGTTGTGTTTATAGGACTCGAGAGAAAGAATGGGAGGGTACAAGGGCGTTGACACAAGCACGCGCTGTGATGCACATGGGCACCTGGCCAAAACCTACTTGGGTTCACGTATATTTTATATTGCACTAGTGTATAAACGAGCTGCTCACCTCTCTTCAATTTTGTTTCCTCCCTTTACCTCTCACTAGAAATTTGACCCTATCAGGTGGGTGTTGACCCGACTGCGTGGAAGATGCTGGAATGCCATCTCCACCAGTTTCGCTTCGAACACTCAGGCCCTGTGCGATTTTTGTGTAAGTAGCCGAAACACTTTCATTGTTTGGGGGTTGGGGTCAGTCCCATTTTGCCATGTGCACACGGACTTGCTCCCTGCAGCTCTGAGCAATGCGGTTCTCATGGACAGCCGGTGGCTGTTGGATGGCGTGAACAAGGAGGTGGGTGGCTCGCACCTTTGGACGAGGGTTATGCGTGTGACGCCTTCCAAGCAGCTACTCTTCCTCCGAAGAGTTCTGTTTCTCCATGGCTTAGCTCATCGGCGAGCAGGCAAAGCGTCTCCTGTCAAGCTTTCTGCTTCCGAGTGGGGGAAGGAGTGCAACCGGATGGCACTACTGGGCCACGTCTTGGAAGAGATGCACTCAGCCATGAACGCTTCTGGGGCTCCACTCTTTGCAGAAGATCTTTTGACCAAGTTGCTCCAGCAGTGCATCGAAGGGCCACTTAGTACCCATTGGTTTCTGTCAATTTTTTCCTGCAGCATGTTGAACACGTCAATTTTTTCTGTCAATTGTTTCTGTCACTTAGTACAACACTGCTCACAGGGTAGCGACTTTTAGATGCCAACTGGAGACCCTGGCGACACCCCGATGCGAACTCCCTAACACAAAGTAACAATGCCAAACCCGAGGACCCACAAGCCAAATCGAAAACCACAAAACGGGCCTTTTGCGTGAACACTGGTTGATTTTACCTTCTATGTCCCTCTCAATCTCTGACTCCATGACAATGCCGTGAAGCTGAGGGACTACACCGAAGAGGCTGACTCTGTGCTTTTCATCTTGGAGCCTTGCTGGTCACACGAGACCTTTTCCTTGTGGCACGAAAATGTCCCACGGCAGGCTGCTGCTATGGCAGCAACGTTTGAAAAGATCGATGACAAAATCAGCCAGCTGAGCACAGAGGCCAGACAAACCATGTGGGACTCTGACAGCGCAAAGCTCGCCAGAGACGTTGCCCAGCTGGGCCGTTTGTATGGGGACACTCAGAAGAGTGAGAGATCTCAAAGGCTTGCAAAAATCTGCCACCTGAGGGAGCAGAACCATGTCGGAGCTGAATTGGTGACCGGATGGATGAGCACCAACTGCGCCTTCGTGTCTGGCGTTCAGAAGGACCTGGAAACAGCATTGGGCAAGGCCTGTTGGCATTGCTGTCATGGGGTGCATTTTAACTCCAAGATTTGCATTGTTGGAATAATAGATGAATTCGGAAGCACCCATCTGTTCTTTGTTGGTTAGGGACACACGTCATGTTCCACATATAGCCTTTTGTGAGAGGAGTAGCCAGCCTCAAACAAATGAGGCAACCCATTTTCTGGTAACCCAATACTTCATGTCTATTTTCTGCCTTTTTCGCAGCGCAGTTCATCACCTCCAACGATGGGGACCCAGTGATCGTATGGCTTGACCTGATGAAGGCTGGCCGCGTTGGCAAATCTGAAATGAACACGTTCATTGAACTTCTGGCGTGTGCGCTGGAGCGGCGGCCTGGGAAGAGCTGTGGGGTGGTTATCTGCCCCCACCTTGTGTCCGAGAAGGTCGGGTTTGGGACTCGCGGCGAGATCCGCAGGGTTGAGGACAAGCTGGAGGCTCGAGCAATTCGATCGTGTCCATTCGTGATCCGATGCACTGAGCCGCCTAGCAACAAGAAGGTGCCGATGGTGTTCCAAGCCTGGGTCTGCATGTGCGACGTTGGAAGTGATCAGAATGGCTTTCGGGAGTGCCAGCTTGCCAGCGACAGGCAGCGCAGTTGGGAAAGTCAAGTTAGAACCTCCAGCTCGTTTGTGGTGTGCTCATTGTCATATATAATATATAGTTTGTCCACTCCTGGGAATATATATATATATATGATATATGAGTAGGGTTGCCACGCCCAGCCCTTTCAGGAGCACACGCGTGGACATTCCATGGCAGAGCGAGTCCAAGTACATCGTGCCATGCGCAGAGAAAGACGGGCTGCCACATGCCTCCGAAGGCATGAGGCTCGGGATCTCCAAATTTACATTGCTTCCGACTTCCGACACAGTTGGACGCGGTTTCCTGAAAGATGTTGATGTTGACACTGTGACTGTTCGAGAATCACTCAACCATGTACCAGGTCCCTGTCGGACGTGCAGGAGTGCGCGCAGTACTTAGCAGGTTCAGCTTTGCCGGAAGGTCTGCTGGAAGGAGTGCTGGAGCGGTCCGGTGTGAAAGCAGGTTCGCGAGTCTTGGTGTGCAACTTGACTCCTTACGACTGCCACCTTGAGCGGGCAGTTCTCCACTGGTCAGAGACTCATGCCAGCTCCAAGATCACCATGAAATCTTTGTCGGTCACCACCAACATATCCACGTCGGAGTACTGCGAGAGAAGCATGGCCATGGAGTTGTTGCAGGATGGATCGAACACATTCCATATTATGGTTGAAAGCCTGTCCAACTTCATAATATAGAAGAGCTTCAGATTCAATTTTCAATCCAACCACCTTACCAGTCTTGATTGTTTTGCTTTCCATCCTATCCTGGAGGCCTGGAAACGTGGGAGCAACACTTGCATGGGCACAGTCCCGGCGTATGACCCGGTCCCACCCCCTGCCCGTGAAGAAGTTTGCCTCTCCAACTACGCCATGCAGCTTGTGAAGGTGACCGAGGACCACGCCAAGAAGGGTTGGGAGGCCTACACCATCAGGCTTAGCCAGGCTCAGGGGAAGCCAAATTACAACAGTTGTTTTTGAACTTAAGACTGTTTCGGGGCCTCACCACCTTTTTGGGCTTAAAAAGCAAGTCTCCAGCGCGCACCTATAGGGTGTCCAGTCGAGCATTTTAAAGACCTCTTACTTTATAGGCTCATTTGCAAGCAAGACTTGGTAGGAGGTGCGTGCGAAGTGGATTGACGATCCGGTTTTTGGGGCTACATGGCGCGAGATCATTGCGGACTTCGATGCCAAGTCTCTAAGCTTACTGCTTGAGTTTAAAACCATGTCACCCAACCATCCCCGCGGTTCCTGTTCGTTTTTGATTTGGTATGGCAATGCCCTTGGTCAAGTCGATATGGTTCACGCTTATTCTAGTTGCGGGCGGTGTGCGCAAATCTGTAGCTCACGGGCACCCATTCCAGCTTAGGAACACTACCCGGAACCCATCACAACCACCAGTCAGGTTTGACAAAGCCCGCTCCGATGCCGCCTCCACCATCGGCTATGCTGTGGTGGCCGCTGATGATGAAGGATCGCCAGGTCCTGGAACGGACTTTGAGCCATGGCCAAATGAGCCACAAACTTTGGAGAATCTCACCGAGCAGTACAACTTGGAGGGCAAGTGTGCGGGGAGAGTGGCTGGAACGTCCTTGTTCTTGGTCCACGCGGTGAAGAGAAATGGGAAAGCAGAAGCGATGACCGATGGTCAAGAATTCAAACTGTTCATGGCACCCCAGCTTAACATCAGACCCATTCCCAAAAATATCTTAGGGCATTGAACTTACAAACTTCCTTCCTGCTGGTTCAATGCATTGCCCCAAAGACCCACCCGTCAAACTTCAAACCATGAATTTACGGGCTGGTCCCAGATACTCTTCCAATCTCATGGACCCAACAAAAAACCCAATTAATGTAATGTAGTGGGGCCAATGAGGCTTTTGAATTGGGGATATTTGGGGGTAGATTGTGAACAGCGAACAGATGGCTGCAGGTGGCCCACAGCAACGTGGAAATCCCAGCGTCCGACTACTTGGTAGCTCACGGCCCATCGAAGTGGCTGGCCGCAGACAAGGTGGACAAACTGCGACGAGAGAAACGCCAAGGCTTGGCCGGGTGGGGAGATCGTTGTCCTAAGAATTTTTCCCTCCAACTGACTCAAATACTCTGTGACTCTTCGATTATTGTGGCTCAAGGGCCTACTTGCAACAAGTGATTTGCAGTCCGGTTGCATTTCACCGGCATGGCGCTGGCCAATCTTTTGGCAAAACATGGATTCGACCAGGCCTGGCCTGGCCATTCCAGCTACCCAACATGCCCTGAAAATAACATGTATAGTATATGGACTGCGCTCAAAAAGCCCTACTCAAAAAATATAGATAAACGTAAACTTTTAAGGCTGTAGATGTGTTTTTAAGTGTTCGTTTAGAAGCGGGCCCCCAGCAGAATATGGTGATACAGCAAGGCAGCGCTAGATTGGCGCTAGGTTGGCGCTAGGTTTCTTCATAACAGGATAACAAGCAGGAAAAAGAAGAAACAAGCAGAGAGCAGGAAACAGAAGAAGCAAGACAAGAAAAAAGAAAAGCCAAGAAGAAGAAGAAGAAGAAGAAGAAGAAGAAGAATGCGCAACAAGAAGAAGACAAGCAAACAGGAAAAATAAGAATCTGACAGGATAAAGAAATCGAGGGAGATTTTTGCGCTAGGCTGGCGCTAGCACCGCGCTAGACGACGGTCCATTTCTTGACCATTTGCCCATCCAACATCCAAATCTTTTGAGTCAGCTCTTACGTCCTTCCTAATTATGTCGTTCTGAAGATTTCTGAGAACAAAAAGTGGAAACAACTGCAGGAGTCCAGCAGCAGCAGCAGCAACAGCTCCAGCATCTCAGCAGTCCGCGCTAGACACCTCTCACAGTTTTTGCAGTTCACACGCCTTCATGTTTAACATCCCTGTGGTTTGAGTGTGGTTGAAGTTTAAAGTGCGACGAGTTTTGGGAAAAGACATTTTGGAAACCAACCATATGTGTCACTTACAACTCAGGACTTTGATGGCTTGGTGGAGGCAAGTCCAAGAACTCTTGAGACTCCGCCCCCTCGCGTTCAGGCTGGGTCCTGCTTGCCTACACCATGCGCGCACCCACTTGCCACTCCCAGGCGCCCTCTCCTCATGCACCATCGATTGAAGCCTGGGCGCCAAGCTTTCTGGAAACAAATTCTGTTTCCAAATTGATGCAAGAAGCCTAGGCCCCAAAAGAAAGACCTTCCGCTTTGAGAGCCAGCGGTGGCTCCAATCGAGAGGAGAAATTGCCTGAACAGAAGAATGCTGTTTCAGCACCTGTGCAAGGACCAGCACCAGGGCAAGGAGCAGAGCACCAGGGCAAACCGCAGGAGTTGCCTGTTTCAACATCCCTGTGCGACCGGAAGACCGACCCAGCCCTCAGCCCCAAAGACCGAAACAAAATTAACAAAGGGGGGTGTGCAAAATCCGAACTTCGCAAACGAGCTTTGCAGGCATTGTGCGCAGAACCAGGCCCAGCAGGGAGGGCAAAGGCAGCAGCGAAGGTTAAGGCCAAGGCCAGGGCCAAGGCAGCAGCAACTAAGGCAAAAGCAGCACCCAAGCGTAGGGCAAAAAAGGGTGATGCAGAAAAGGGTGAGGCAAAAGGGGTTGGGCGTAAACAGGCTAAGCCAGCCAAGCCAGCAAACAAGCACGAGGTTGACGAGGAAGACGAACTGGAACCTGAGGAAGCCTTGACCGAGGAAGCGTGCGAGGATGGGGAGGAATGGGGTGGGGAAGAACAGGGCGAGGAGGAAGCCCCTGAGGAAGATGAATGCTTGGAGGAGGTGGAGGGCAAAGGTAAAGGAAAAAAGAACCAGAAGGCCATGTCCAACAAAATGGTGTTTGTAGGCTCAAAGCCTCACGTTTTCCGGAACCTTTCCCCTCATAACACATGCACGCTTTGAGCAACTAGTTGCAGGCGGCTGTCGCTACCAAGAATACCACCAAGCAGGACTCTCACATACAATCTTTGTCAGTACAAGGTTTGTTCGGTTTTTCTTGGTGGGCGAGGAAGCAAAAAAGAAGCGCAACAAGGGACAGAAGGCTAGGGGCCTAAGGGTCTACTTCAAAGAGGTTTGTTGGAACTAGTTACTATTGGTCCTGGCAGGCCACCAGCTCCACCGTCAAGCAGGCTTACTGGAGTCATGTCCGGGAAGCAAAGGAAAGGATTGCTGCCACAAACCCGTGGCTTGACAAGAAGACCGCCCTGAAATTGGCGCGTGAAGAGTGGAGCCCTCAAATAGTGTGTTGCAAGCCACAGTTTCCTCTCATGTAGTTACCCATTTTGTTTCAATCAGGTGGGCAAGCCACCCGGTCAGGGTCCAGTCGATGAAAAACATGTCCAAGAGTGATCTGAGCAAGCGACGCCTGAAACGGCCAGCCGCTGAAGCACTTGAGTGAGCCAAATATGGCTGCACAAACAAACAGCTGAGCGGAATCTTGTGGATTCACTTTTTGTGGCGTGGCTGTGAAACCAGCCAATATATACCCGATGGGATTGATGTGAAGTGATCTTTAGGACTATCTTTAGGATCATGGAGACGAACTTCTGGCCAACATGGGGAGTGCTAGAAAAAGGGGTTTTCTTTATTTACACCAGGCTGCTTTCCATGTTGAAATCAAAAACACAATGGAAGGTTTCCCTCTTGTTCAATACACATGGAAGGTTTCCCTCTTGTCCATTGGCCGCCAAACAACACAGGGATTTATCAGCTAATCAGCTATCGCCCGAACTCATCGTTATGTGGTTCGTTCACTTAACTCAGATATACTCAGAGTGCTTCTTCTTCAGATGGCTGGTTTAAGGAGATACGTCTTCAGTCTGCTGATTTCTGGCCCTGCCTGGCAGGGGATCTTGACAGACTCATGAACTTCGAGTGCCACAATGACACCATCCCAGTTATCTTGGAGGTCGAATCCGAGAGTAGCAAGGCTACAGTGGATAGCGAGGTTTGCAGCCTTCGCCAGCTCCTCATGGAGCTGGAGAATGAAGGCATCGTGGACTGCAGCGTCAATGGACACGCTCTTGTCCGACCAGCGGCTACGGATTCAGATGTGGGCTGGGGTCTCATCCATGTATATCAGCTTCGGAAAATTCTGTTTGTCTTCAAAGGAGGTATAGCCTTTTTTGAGTTGTCGGGCTGCTAAGGTGGGTACGTGATCAAGCCGAAGGCTAACCAAGTCTCTTTTCAGTGGTCTACCGGCTTGGCGATCCATAAATATACAAATCTTGCTTCCGCCTTTCGAGCTGTGGTTCTTTAGCTGTATACGCTGTGGGTCATTTGTGCGATTTGTGTCACTTGTTATACGAGGGTCTTGCGAAATTCGGTCGGGGCTCCTTTCTGAGGATCTTATTGCTGCCAGACCCTTGGTGTGTGCGTGGCGAGTTGCTTATGTGAAGGAAAGCAACGTTGCTTGGGCAAAGAGGGAAGTTTTTGCGGTCAGTTTGGGCGCTGGACTTTGCATTCTTGAGCGTGTCAAACAGCTCAGGAGCTTTCACCGAGAATCTTTTTTGCACCGTGGAGGGTCGCAGTGACGAGTGAGTTTTGCAAGAAGCTTGCTCTTTGTGTACACGCTCATGTTGTTCGTCTGCTTTAAATCACCATATAGTTAAGGAAAGGCGCTATGGCTCCCGAAGAAGACTATCTCGATGACTGAAGGTGAAGTATTGAGATTGATCTGAACGGACCATTTACGGCTGATTTGCTATGTAGGGCACAGTGGGTGATCGGCGATGAGAATTTCTGAGCTGGCCCTTGTTGGGCCAGGAGATGATCAGAAACTATCTTTTAAGTTCATAAGGTGGCATGAAGCACGTCACACACTTTTTTGTTTGTGTGCCCACTGTTGCCCATTTTGGACAGCACACTCGTGATGTGGTGAGAAAGAACAAGTGTTCTGGGCTCCAGTGAGGCTGGAGAGGGTGGATTGGTTCAGGGCTTGGGAAGAGCAACGTCGCCCTGATTGGTTCAAATCCCTGAAAGGTCCTGACACCAAATACAAAGAAATGTCCCCCAAATGTAACGAAATCTCCATATAGATTAATCAATTTTTGGGGAAATCTGGGAACCTAAACACAAGAGGAAGTCCTAGAAAATTCTACAACAATGGAAGAAAATAGGTTCGCATTTTTCTACGCATACCTGGGAAATCCTACAACTCCCTTTTACAACAAACCCCGGGTCCGGAAAGGTAAAAAAGTAAGGTCTAAGTCTAAGTCTAAGGCTAAGGCTAAGTCTATGGCTAAGGCTAAGTCTATGGCTAAGGCTAGGCTAAGGCTAAGGCTTAAGGCTAACATCGACAGTCACGCCTCACCCCACCTCTCTGGCTAGAGCAAGGCTAGCGCTAAGGTTCTATCCCTTGGGGGTCGGCGGCTGCAGGCGGTAGCCTGGTAAATATTGAAATCCCATGACCACTAACTGACCATTCGTCATTCACTAATTTTGAGCCCAGCTCATGTAATTACAATGTCAATCATTTTTGTAGACATCTCCACTTGTCCGCGATGTGCAACATGTATTTTGCTGCAACTTGACCAAGCTGCAGCCACTGGTGGAGACATACATGCCAATTGCATCAACTGAAGTCTGCCGAACTGCGACACTCGGATCATGCAGGTGTCCACTGATGGCAAACCTCAACAGCAATAGAAATGCCGAAATGCCCTTGTTACTAGGAGAGAGGAGCTACTAGTAGTAAGGCACCTTGCTACTAGTAGCTTCTTGCTCCTGGTCCTAGTAGTATAGCTACTAGTACTGATGCCCTTGCTAGTTGAGGTTGTGCTGCTTGTCAAACACTACAGTCACTATCGCTTGATACGTTGTTCCTAGATTCGGTGCAACCAGTTGAATGAGAGGTCAACTATCGGCCCGCAGGCCTGATCTGACACCGGCCGAGTCGCAAAAGCGGTCGGTCCAAGGCAATCAGTTTGGTGAGACCTTTAATGGCTTCCAGTCGCACCGAAGGGCACATATCTTCCAATCGACCTCTAAGATGTCCCACGTGTTCCGCATCCCCTTGGCCGCAAACGCTGGCTGGAGTCACTCGCAAACAGGAGAAACATGACGCAGGTCACAAGGGAAAGGGCTTGTAGATCGAACGTGGCCAAATAGTTTAGGAGTTTAGGATAGTTTAGGTGTCAAGACATATGTCACGTGTAGTTCAGCTGGCAGGCAAGTGTCCAAAGGCTGCTAGCATCTTGACGCAAACCTGCCTGTCAAAGAGCGAAGGACATGGGTGCAACTTTGCCTGGAAGAAATGCCAGCCTCGCCTGGTCCGCGAGCAGGAACCCTCCAGGCGGGCAAGGGCCTCTAAATCTCAACCAAGAAGTAGTAGTCTCGTCGGTCTTGCAAAAAATAGCTAGGCCATCCATCGGTGAATCTAAGGGAATTGTCAGTCTTCTGCCCGCCTCCTTTTGTGTCGTAGGACGACTTGCCTCAAAGAGTTACAGTAGCTCTCTCATTCAGCATGCTCACATCAGCTTGCAGAAAGTGACAGGGTGTTTCACCCACGCTTCACCTTTCATGATCGAATCCCCTGGCCAGCCAAGCTACCAGTGCACCATCTAAAAGCACCGCAGCTGCTGCATCACGTGCATCTTGCGTGTCCGAGTCCAATATTGGCGGTATTTGCAAGCAATCCCACACCTGCAAACGAGCTAAATCTTTGCGGCAACATATCATATAATGGTTATATATATATAATGATATATATTTTTGTGTGTATTGTAACATTGTAGCTCCGAACAAACAGCAAAACTCCAGCCTCGGCCTCCACAGCTGACCAGACCTCTCCCACCGCAGAAAGGAATTTTTGTATGTAAAGGCCAGGAGCCCCTAATAGCGTCCTTGTTACTACTAGTAAGGCACTTGTTACTAGAAGCGATGCACTTGTTACTAATAGCTTACCCAAAATAGAAGTGGCGAGAAAAACATGTATAATGCTGACCTAGCATGCTCTGGGCTGCCGGCGGCATGATCTGCATATGTGCAGTTTTGGGCCACCAGCTGCAACTGGTTCAGAACCTATCAAAAAGTCTTCGGCCCAAACAGCACTTGCTACCCAATCCCAACTGCCGGTGCTTTGTTGAAATGGTTCACACAATTGAACCACCAAAGCCAGGCCCAACTACAATAACAACGTGCCCGCATGGCTGCTATGGCCACGCCATTGTGCATGCTGCACTTGCCATTGTGCATGCCATTGTCGCGCACCTCTTTGGCCAGTGCAGACTGCAACGCAGAGCGAAGCATCTCCGTTGAAACCACGAGCCTCAGGTCTGGTGACCAGGGCTGACGTGTTTGACACTCCAGACTGAAGCTGCTCTGGCTATGACTATATATTTGTGACTCAGATCCACCATTGCAAGCAAACCTCTACACCCTAAGCAAAGGCACTGGAGTTCTTTCTCAGGTAAAGCCTCGCAGCGGGCACTATCAGGTAAGAGTCGTCCGCCACACAGCAGCTTTTGGCCTCAACATTTGAAGACCCTGTCTGCGCGGCGATTTAGCTGATCTGAATGCACATCCACATTACTCAAAGCAAACTACAGTAGATTTCATGAAATTTCAGATTTTCTAGCTCTTGAGGTCTCCGGCAGATTTGTGGCACGGCCCATCCATCCTCAATGGCGCGCTTCATGTCGCCCACCTTGGACCTGAGTCAGCTGGATCAAGACAACATGATGCCTGCGGGGAAATAATTGGGAAAGTACATTCCAATGAGCATTGGCATGGTAATTCATGGGCTCACATACTGCATACGATTACTATGTATCATAGATGCTAGTAAAGATATAAATGTATAAGTAAAAATAACATGAATATAACACAAGAATTAATACTATATATAAGTATGATATAAATTGTGTATATAATAGGTTACTCTCCATAAATTTCCTAGTTCCACACTTCAAGCCCAAGCGCTCGAGTGGCATCTCTAGCTCCATGCATTGACCAGACAGGCCAACAACGCTGTAGCAAACCGCCATGAGCTTCAAAGAGTCACATTACCAATGCACCGCTACTAGTAACAAAGAGCATCGCTACTAGGAGCAAGGACGCTACTAGTGGCTCCTGGCATTACTACTAGTAGCTGGCAAGGATGCTACTAGTAACAAAGGGCCTGCTGCGCTCAGAATGGCTGCACAGAATCTACTGCCCGAACACCATTGACTGCAAAACAAAACATGTCATGTGCAGCCGGAAACAATGAGCTGCATTGGCTGCTAGTGAGCGGATCCCTGCTTTCTGGTATCCCGTGGTAGCCCTCGCATGATCTCAATTTAGGCCTTTTGCAGCCTCATGATGATCCTGGCTTGGGAACAAATGTGTGAGGTGATTTGGCATGTCATGTTGCTCTCAAACTGATCTGCTCTCTGGACACTGCAGCATCTCATCCAGAATCAAGGGCCGCAACCGAGCATCCTCAACACCTGAGTGTTGAAGGGCATTCCCACAAGGGTGGACGGCGCATGGTGGATAATAATCACGGTTGATCATGTTTTATCAGTTTTTCTTGTCCAGTCGAAAGCTTCTATTGGCCTTACTATATATATATATGATTCAAATCCGTGCTGCTGAGGCTTGAACCCATAGGTCCTCAAGAGGATCGGCATGGCGCCATGCGTCTTCCGGGTGACATCTTCGGGCTCGTCCGGCCACGGGCTCTTCCCACGCTGCTTCTTGCTACTAGTAGCTTCCTTGCTCCTAGTAGTAAGGCCAGGAGCCCCGTTCGTAGCGTCCGATCGCTCCTAGTAGTGATGCCAGGAGCCCCTAGTAGCTTTGTGTTCCTAGTCCCAATGCACTTACTAGTAGCTACTAGTAGCTTCTTGAGTCTAAGACTATCACACTGCCACACTCCGCTACATGATCACCGCCATTTTGAGGATCATTCGAATCATTCGACTGTTCGACTTTGGCAAAGTAGCAGTTCCACGCATGAGCCATAACCTTGATCCCTCTCAGTGGCAAAAAAGAGCCGTATTTTGGCATATTTTAATGCAGGTTCTATCAGGTTCCAACATCTTACAACTATTAGGAGAGCTCTCGGACTATTTTGCGCACGCACGGCCTTGAAAACACTTCATCAGCCTCATCCTTGGCGCGGACTGTCACTTGGGACATTCTTGCATGGTAAAGTCTCCATGAATGGCCTTTACGAGGCCACTTTGGGCCCTGCGCATGTTCCCTGTCTAGTGGTGGATCTATTCATTATTCACTCTCCTCTTGCAGCTTGCCTCAGGACAGGATCACAAGCAATTTCCCATCTACTCTTTTCGCCCTCCGAGGAGGGAGCGCAAGGTTTGCTGCGCCAAGCTGGCAATCACAGCTGGCTGATGCCCCTCTCTGAACTCTGTCAAGTTCCTGGTGGAAAAGGCGCCCGGTCGCAAACATCCAAACCACATTCTGAGCAGGGGATGCTGCTGGTGCCCAGATTTCCAAGATTGATGACTACAACCTTCGAAGTGTGTGTTGGTATGTTTGGAAGAGACGATGTCGATCTCCTGCCAGAGATGGGATCAATGACACACCACCTTCCATGCTGTGGCCTCAGCTGCTATATACTGAGCAGCACTAAGCTAGGAAGGGATCCTTGGATTTTCCACCCTCCTTTCAGCAGTGTAACATGCATTGCCAAACAATAAACCAATGCAATAATTGGCAAGCAAAAAAACATGAACAGCTGCTTTCATAATTTCATCCTTCTTGCATCATCGTCGTCACACTGCAAAACAGCAGGATGTGACTGATCACAAGATCCCGACCCAGTACCAAATGGATCCCGCCTGAGCTTGTCAAACGAGTGAAGCATCACAGGTTCGACAAACATGCCTGCCACTAAGCCAGGCCACAGGTTCGACCAAAGCCGCCCATCTTGAGATCCGGCCTCAGGACGTTCTGCAGGCGACTGCCGCACCTGTTGCGTTGCAGGACTGCCGCGGGCACCTTCACCTTTTCTGGCGGCTAGGCGGGCTCAGTGCAAAGGCGAACGTCCATCTCAAATTGCGGCGCTGGCTTGGAAGCGTGCGGCCAATTGTGGAACAAGCATGGATGATTTACAGGTGAGAAGCATTGTCATAAGAACCTTTTAAGAGACGGGACTGAGCCGAGCCTGAACATGCTGTTGCCAGTGCATTGCTCTGGACTCTAGAGGAAGCAGCCAGTCTACCAATCTCTATGCAACTGCCGCAGCTATTCAGCTTTGAGCTAGTTCTTCCGCCCTCCGTTGGCTGCGCTGTTCATGATCTCCCTCAAATCAGTTTCATTGAATGCACACAATCACGGTGTCCAGGAAATTCTTGGACAAAGGCATTGCTCAGTGGATCAAAAACCGCTACCCGCCCACTGAAGAAGGCCTTAGGTCCAAAGCAAGGTGAACTTCTCAAAAACAAAAGAATGTTCTGACTAGCCTTTAACTTTAAACTGACTTTGGCCTGGATCCCAAAAAGAACTGCAGCTCATATTCATTGTATGTGCCACCGAGATTCGAGGAGCAGTTGCCGACCACCGGGTGCCCATTGTGCGCAGGTGACAAAGCCATTCTCCTGACAGTAAAGACCTCACCAATGAACCTGCTAAGATTCCAAACCTCTACATCACTGTTGACAAAATCCAAACCAATCAAAACCACTGTCCTCCGAAAAGCCTTAGTTGCACCAGCAACTAAGAAAATAGCTTTCATAGCACCAATTCAAAGGCTACTTGCAGGTGCTTCCGCCACCTATTACCAATTACAATGTTCTTCACATGCTTCGTATGACGCCCCCATTCAATCATCCCAAATCGATGGCCACATTCTAGAATGCCTCTCATTGTCTCTCCAGATCTAATGCACTTTTGAAGTATAAACACTTGGGAAAACAAGCGTATCAACAGTGCCACACTGCCACACCAGATTTGACGAGCCCACCGTCTTGAGAATTTACATACATTCAAAAACTGTCTTCTTGAGTCTTCTTGTGTTATCCTGCCGATGCACTTCGTAGGCACTTGCCCGTTTTGGCATCGAACAGCTTCGCTTCCAAGTCGCTAGAGCCTGAAGCTGAGCTGATCAAAACTCGAACATCTAGTATGGTCTAGTCTAGTCCCTGCCTTACTTCACAATACAACACTTAACTTAAGTTACAAGTCTTGAGCTTTGAAGTTGCAGTGGATCTTGGAAGGCCGCTTGCTGAGGCAGAACTCACAAAATGAAACAAAATTCACACACAAACAATGACAACCGCATGTTGAACAGGGAAAGTGGTGAAGGTCACCCCGAAGCACCAACCGTTCAACAAACGTGCAAACCGTGCAAACCTCAGATGGTTGATTTTGCACGCGTGATGGGGTTCCGTTGGTCAACGCTAAAAATATGTCCATGTTCTTGAATCAGTAGATATTCCTGATGTTAAGGTCCACGCATGGAGGATCTAGATGCTCGGACAAACACACACACACACACACTCTGGGAAATCAAACGTTTTCGTCTCTGAACTTCGTTTTCGTCGAGATGCTTGTAAGCACAAGAGTCCCATCAATCGATAGTGTTGCACTGAGCACTGGTGCAGCGTGATCAGGAAATTCCTGTAAACCTCAAGCCACTGTGATGTCCAGCGGCGGCGAATGGAAAAAACTGCAGTTCTGTGTGCAAACGCATTAGAGCACACACTTAGACCTTGGCTTGCCGAACCGCACGGATGAAGGAATATTTGAACACTGGTTCACTAGCACTTTGCGAAAGTCGCCGCTTGATCAACAATCCAACAAGAATGAAAGATTGAAACTCAAGCAGGCACACAGAGCTTACCAGGCCCTGCTTCCAGCACAAGTGCATAGCTTCGTTGGGTGCAGTTTCCACTGCACCCCCTGCTGAACTGTACAAATGTGACAGGGCCCCTTGGAAACAGGAGTTTGCACACACACACAATGCCGTATTCGGCGCAGCTTTGGAAGAATGGCAGGCACTTGACTGGAAAAACCTGGCTACAACCTAAGCCTCCTCTGAAACAAAGAAAAGCCAAGAAAGAGAAACGAAAGCAGGAAAGAACGAAAGCGGGGGTGGAGGGGTGGGATCGGGATGGTGTGGGTCGACGAAAACGAGCCTAAACAGCAATTTAGCAAGCCTCAAATATATACCACAAACAAACGAAAGTTTGAAAGAAAACCCAAAAAGCCGAAATCGGCGCTGCCTTGACTGAAGCTTAACCTGAAACCGAACAGGCTCTAGCAACGAACAAAAAACCTAGAAAGAGAAAGCTAAGGAAGAAGAGAGATGGAGAGAAAGCAAGACCATGCATGAATTACTCAGCTTGATTCACTTTGATTCAAATTTGGAAAAGCGAATGCTTAGCCGCGTGTCACGTCATTCTATGGCAAATGCAGTAGGCCCTGCGGCATAGTGTCAGCTATCTCGAGCAGGCGGCTGATCAGTTGTTGATTCGAGCAAGGCTGAAGAACCTGTGAGGTATCGCCCTCGAGGGCCGGCGCTAGGCGCGCCCAAAATTGGGATCACACAACAGACCGCAGTGGGACCCTGTTGCGAACCACATTTAGATCCACGCTCGCAAGAGCTGAATTAGTACTTGCCAGTGAGGCTAGCACTTTACGTTACTGAAAGCTAGACCTTGACTTTCAGAACCGCACAAATGGTCAGTCTGCGAAGCACCAGCACTTTACGAGAAAAGGAGAGTCGCCACTTGATCAACAGTTCAACAAGAATGAAAGATTTTAAAAATTACAGTAAGCAGGTACAGTACACAGAGCTGATCAGGCACTGCTTCCAGCACAAACATGCAGTTTCCACTGTGCTCTGCACCCCCCAAACGTGACAAAGCTCCTTGGAAACATGAGTTGACACACACTTTGACAATTGGTTTTCACTTACCTCTATTCCACGAAAAAATGGATGAGGGAAACGCAAGGTGAAGCGGTCAGCACAATTGAAATGTTGAACAAGTGTTCATGCTGCGTGACTGCGGGTTCTAGTTACTGAATACGTAGCCGATCGAATCCGATCGAATTATCGCCGTGCATAGAAACCTGTTTGTGGGATATAGCATGCAGAACCACCATGGAACCAAAAAGGAAGAGTGGAGTCACAGCGTAAACAAAAGTTTTCAGCAGGTACGTGGAAATAGCATCCCATTTCCATATCCCCGGATACATCGCCAGCTTCGTTGACCAAGCGACGATGCATCCTGCCTGGTCCCTGCCTCTGTTTAAACCCTAAGGGAAATTGAATTAATTTGCAACGCGTGGAAACCTCAGAAACAGGTGGTGACACACACAAACATGGCTCACAAGATCTCAAGTTTTACTGTACTGAGAGCCTTCTGGCCAACTGCAGGGCCAGTAACACGCTCCAGTGCGCGCATCAAAAAGCCGGGCAGTACCATCTTGCCCAGCTGTCAGGACCTGCCAAATGCGGTGGAAACAACAAATCCATGCCCGCCTGGCGCTGGCTGGATTGGTTCAATGTATGTTTTTCAATGTTTTGGCCTTGGACAGGTCTGGAGAGAATTTGGCACTGCAAAGTGCCGCGTCAGAGGCCGCTTGAAAGGTGCAGCGGCATGCGCCAGTGTCTGCACAAAACCTCAGCAAAGTCGGAAACATTGACAATACAAACAGTGCACGTTATCTACTTTGACCTTGTACGTGATTCCGTATGATGTCAATATTTCTCTTGATCTGTCAGAAGAAGGAACAGCTTTGATGCACCATCTTTGGATGCGGTGAGGATCATCTTGCCTCGGCCACACCCGGCTACTCGGCAAAAAAAACACCGTAACACGGGGCCAAGCACATCAGCTTTCCAGTGCTTCACGGCTACCGTCTGGTGACATAATGCACGATCGCAATGGGGCTGTGTGACCGGCCTCGGTTGGAATTTGGTGCTTCTCCACGTGCAAAAAACATCCACGAGGACAATACAGGTGTAGTTTTCTTATTATTTAAACATATTGAAACATAAATAAGAAAACAAGATCACATGTAGCCGTAACGTTAGCCGTATAGCTCAAAAGTATTTCATCGAACAGTGGCGCAAGTGCAAATCCGCTCCCCAGTGCGAGCATAGAGGTCAGCAGAGCCATCGTATAAGCTTGCAAGCACTTTGCTAGCATCTGGTGAGAAGGCAGCGGCAGACATGCCCACACGCCTTCCTGAGTGGAACATGGACCATGCCCACGGCAAACGTGGAACAAATGGAAACACCCAAAACTGGCCGAGCCATTGGGCGGAAGCCAAAGAAGCCAAAGCCCTGCGACCTCCAAAGGTTGGACAAGGTTCCACCCGTCGGACGACCGAAGGTGACTGTGCAACCACCAGTCTCCACATCAAATAGCCGTGCAAAGCCTTCGACAGAGCTGGTGAGAAGAGCTTTGCCATCAGGAGAGAAGACCTGACGCTCAGATGCGCCAAGCCACCATGACTCAAATACTCAGGTTCTGTCTTTTCTTGCATGTGCAGGAGCTGCGGCATTGAAGTTCAATCTTATGAGAGGGTTGTTCTTCGAAGCATATTGCTACCCAAGAGCTGCCGTGCAAACAAAGTACCTGGGCAAACAAAGCCAGCTGCACCCACACAACCGAAAAAGTGACGAGCAAAGACCCCTCATGCACACTTCCTCGCTCTCAAGGATTTCAAGTTGCGCATGATGCACCAAGTTTGTGAGCAAGCGCCCCGATTGTGCGTCCAGCAAACCCACCACAGAATGTGAATCCATGACCTGCGCCCGGCAACTTCATCAGCGAGGTGGAGAGGCTACAGTATGACAAGCAAACGGCATGGGCATCAAAGGGTTCCTTCAAACAGATGCTAGTTGACAAGAGCTACTGCCCTTGCAACACTTGACTAAAACGGAGCTTGTTAGTCCGACCGGCCACAAACATTGCCCGCCAGCACTCTTCTTCCATCTGCCGCGAGACAGGCGTCCTGCACGGGGCCCAGGACCCTCCACAGCTGCACCTCGTTCGCTTCGGAAATCTCAGGCTGCTCCGCATCGACTTGACACGAAGCCCGCGGCAAAACAGCGGTCACATTTGTTTGGTATACTGGCTTTGGGTTCTTGCATTTTTGGGTGTATAGTATTGATTAGTCGGGTAATTGCGTATCAAGTCACTCCCGTGGTCGAATCGTACATCGCAATGGAGCGCGCTGAAGTCATGGTCAAAGCTCTCGTGACATCCTCCGAGAAGCTGACTGAGACCACAGCACTGCAGTGCCTGACGAGACGACCGTGAGATACGAGACTGAGCATGTCTAAGTCTACAGTAGGTGAATCCGCGCTTTTTGGGCAGGTGGAGTCCATAAAAAGCTCTCAAAACCTTGACAACCTTAGGGACCTTTTGACACCCTGTGACCCCTGACTCGCTCCGCGATTCGGGGTCTGGCATCTTGGACTTCTTTGATAGAAGTCTCGGAAGAAAACAATGGCCAATCGGCACTTTTTTCCTTCAAGCATCTGGAAACATTTGGCTTTATATAATCCACAGACATCCACAATGTATCAAGCTCACAAGTTGCAATCGTTCATTCTGCCGAAACACCCTCCGAGAATGCTGAGGCTTTTCCCAGTGTGCAGTTCAAATATGCGTGCAGTTCCATCCTGCATAGCAGTTCGATATCATTGGCATCTTCTTATTTCTGTTGCTTGATCATGACTGGGCTGCACTATTCTTGTCTAGCGGAGGATCAGAAAAACATTAACATGACCGTTGAGGCTACACTCCCGAAAACTAACATAGACCCTGACAATGGCCCCCTGGAAGAGTGTTTTCCTCTACCAACCAGTGGTTTCCAGGGTCCATGTTAGTCTCCCAGGGTGTAGTTTGGCTCCTCTGAAGCAGTGCAAAGCTTCCTCGGCGGAAGTCGCAATAAAGTGAGAACGGAGCCTTGACAAAGACCCAAATGACCTGTTCAGGGGCAAAGCGGCGCAGGGAGTCGACAAAAGCTGTTCTGGTCAAACGAGTGTTGCGGAGGGAACTTGGGTGGAAGAAGAGGGGCTGCATGTTGCTTGACAAAACCCACTGTAGTCAGCATGTTTCAAGCATGTACAAGACCAGGTCTGCCGAAATCAGCCTTACTTACAAAGATCTGGCAGCAAGTCGACAGAAGGCCCAAAAGGGGGCATGAGTGGCAATGATTCGAACACATTAGAGTGTATATGCGTGTATTAGATATCATTCTACAGTAACGAGTCACGAGCACTATCAATCAACATATGACATGCTCCACTGAGAGAACAACTAAAAAGTTAAAGGAGAACATCCTTGTGTGAACCTTATATAACTACCTTTTGCCGAAACAACTCGGAAAAATTCTGACCCTGGCTTCACTGTCTGCATGCAACATAGCCACTAAAATGCCTAGAAACGACTTGAATATACTTGAATCTTCTCGGAACATTTCGCATCCCGAGCCGACGATTTCGATGTGGAGAAACTTTATCCGAGAGCTGTCCCGAGTTGCAAACCAGTGTTGGTTTAAACATGCGGCGTCAAAGTGAACAATCCTTGGAGCTCGCTGACCCGCTATATGTATAATATGTAAGTACACAGTCTTTTGCATCTTGATTCTTGATGATTTTTGTTGAGCCTTTCAATCACCATCCATCCAGTTTCCCTTGCTCTCGGTCCACAGCAAATTTTATGGGTACTTGGCAGCTGCATGAGTGCTGTGGATGTTCCAATCCAGGCCGGCCGTCACCAATAAGTCCCTGTGCCTGCAGTGTCACAGAAGTCCAGCTCTCGGTCGCCAAACATGAGCACGCTGTGAGGGAAGGCATCCCTCTCAGGATCCAAGGCATCAATCTTCTCGCGCAGCTGCACCAGCGAATCCTGGCACGAAAGGAAGAATTGGTACATAAGCTGGAGGCCCTGGAAAGGAAGGCAGCCAAAAACGAGGCAAGGCCATTGAAGGATCCACAGTGATCGTTGTTGTGGCCACTGGGAACAGTATAAGAACTCTTGTGTAATGAAATCCTCTGATTAATAAACCACCCCCCCCACATGGTAGGTCAACAAGGTCAAGAAGGTATGAGATACCACTCATGAGGTCCACCTCCCCTGAATTATCGGCTCAGGGAGCCATCGTAGTCGCAGTCGTCGTCGGTAGTAGGTAGTAGGTAGTAGGTAGTAGGTAGTAGGTAGTAGGTAGTAGGTAGTAGTAGTCACAACAAGTTTAAACAAGCACAAAGAAAAGGCCAGGGACACAGGATCAAATTAATAGGGGGTAGTAGTGCAGATTATTGATGGGGGACCGGCCCTTGTGAGGGGTACCCTTTGTGAGCTTGTCAAATGAGTGTTTTTAATTGTTTTTTAATAAGGCAATTTATAGGCCCTGAGCCCTAGACATTTTTAAGGATTTCATCAAACTTGAGGCCAAGGGGGGGTGCGAAAGCTAGCGCTCCAGAATGGGAAAGTGGACGGCAGCGAGGTAGGAAAAAACACGGCGCTCTTTTTGGAGGCAGGGGTGAAGAGTCCTTTATATGTGGCTCTTTGCCCGGATCCTCCTGCGAGAGAAGAAAGAGAAGAGAGACGGAAAGACGAGAGACAGAGAGGAGAGAGAGAGAGAGAGAGAGAAAGGAGAGAGAGATGAGAAAGAGATGAGAGAGATGAGAGAGATGAGAGAGAGAGAGAGACAGTGAGACAGTGAGACAGTGAGAGTGAGCGAGTGCGGCCGCAAGATACGCAACGCTAACCGCATGCCAAAGAGCGACGACAGGACGGAGTCGAACTTGCGAAGAGGGAGGAGGGAGGGAGGGAAGGTGGGAGGAAGACAAGGAGGAGGAGAAAGAGGTGGGGAGAGGGGAGGAGGAGGGGTGGACAGTGAGACAGTGAGAGTGAGCGAGTGCGGCCGCAAGATACGCAACGGGGGGGGCTTCGACCTGAAAAATCAGGGGTTAGGATTTGCACCCGGTCGAAAGAAACCTTGCTATCGCAAGAGTAACTCCAGCTAGCTTCGCTAGCTTTCGTGACATGTAGTAGGTAGTAGGTGGTGATGGTGGTGGTGGTGGTGGTGGTGGTCGTGGTAGTAGCACGTAGCAGTAGCAGTAGCAGTAGCAGCAGCAGCAATAGCTAGCACTAGTAGCAGTAGCAGTAGCAGTAGCAGCAGCAGTACAAGTAGCAGTAGCAGTAGCAGTAGTAGTAGTAATACGAAAAATTGACCTGGTTGTGGGCTCGGATTAACTGGGGGGGTTTCTGATGCCCAACTAGAAAATTAGGGGGGGAAATAGGCACGAATAACACTTTTAATTTGGGCAATTTTTGGTGGGCTTGTGTCTTCGGATTAACTAGGGGAGGTTTATTAATCGTAACTTTGCATTACTGTGTGCTGCGGCCAAAATATGCCAAAATGCCGTGACGCCAAGGATCTGCTGCATTGACGTCGATCGTGACGAGCCTTGGGAAGGCAGCCCTGAGATGTGTGATTTTCACATTCTGGCACCAGCTGGGAGGTGCAGCAACCTGCAGCCCTGAGAAACGGGCGTTTCGCCGGACAAGAGCTTCACCTCCACTTCAAAGGCGGCTGGACTGCGGCTACGGGATCCTCAATGGGAACAGGCAGTGGCAACAAGGTCCAAGAAATCACCGATTGAGCTGTGAGCCTTTACCATCACGGTCCACTCCCAAATAAACAAAATACAGGAAGAGAAGCCATACATTGCCCCAGCAAAAGTGCCTATGCCACCTGCCACTTCAAACTGTTTTTTTGGTCACCCTATTGAGACTCCTCCAATCGCTAGAGGGAGTATTTACACATAAAAACCCTACAAATGCTTCACAGTGCTGCCTGGAACCACTCCAGCACTGCCAACATTGTGCCAACATTATATATACATACATATATATATATATATATTAATAGAGTTCATGTTGGTGGTACAAGTGCAACAGGACAATGCCGTGAACATATTAATGCGTACACGTGCACGTTCAGTCGTCAACACTTCTGCAGTGAGGCTCTGCTTCGAGTGGATGTCATACTGTAGCACTTTTCCGAGCAGCTGGTCCAGTGCGACCATCGATCCAGTTGTGTATTCAGTATATAATTTCCTACAGTGGGAGCTGGTTACCAGTTGCTGAGTACATCTGAGCACCTGAGCACTGAGTGCAGGTAGAATCTCTGCGACATGCTGGGTGTACGTTTCACCCCAAAACATCAACCACAAAAGGACAAAATGTGACCAAATGTGTTCTGAAAGCTTATGGATGCTTATGGACAAATCGAATCTTTTCCGACATTGCACAATTTTACCTTAGCTTTCGAGCTTTTGGAGCCAGAATTGCTGCCGAAAGAAGGGCAACACCATTTGGGGTTCTCTCTGTCTGAGCGACGCTTCCCACCAGCCCCCTCGTTACATAGTAACAGGATGTAACAGGTACCGGGGGAGTGGGAAGCATCATCATTGGATGCGTATGGGTGACATGACATGCTGTTCCGCCAAGCTTAGATCTTCACCTGCATAATTGCTTAGGTTATATCAGCTTAAGCCATGCTAAGCCATCGCAACTTACACGCAGTGGCTGCAGCCCTTTACAATCACAGGTGATGACCTCACCTGCCGAATCAATATACCGCATGAAAGACTGTCCAAAGTTCCTCAGGTGGACACGCCATAAACCAACATTTTGCCGCCTTCGCGTGAACAACTGAGAGACAGCAGTAAACGTATCGAACGTGTAAGTGAGCAAGCCAGCAACCCTTCAGCCACTAGGCCGTTTGGCATGGTTGGGGCGTGGAGCTTCACCTGGCGGACTTAGCTTCGCTTAGCATCATTCAGCATTGGGTAACATCAGCTAACATCAGCTAACTCTGCTCATGGGTCCCAAGTGCCCGATCGGAAAGACCGAGAAACCGGGAGGTTCGCTTCCGCAAGCCGCCAACACATCTATACAGGTCCCCCGAAGGGGATTCGAAGGTGGGCTGGGTATGCTGGCTTTGCTTGGTCACTTTCATGCTACTTGCAAGTTGCTTTCGCAAGCAGACTGGGAAGAGTGAGGTGCAGAAATTCACTGTGCCCAAGTCCGGTACACAACCCGGGCTTCACATAGGGTCGAATTGAACACTTGGAAGCCCTCAGTCACTGCTTTGGTGGAGCCGAAGCAAAAAGGTTGCAGGATGCAACTCATCAGTCCGCGATCCTGCCGCATCTTGCCTCTGGCACTTTACAAATAGACCACCATGACTGAGTGGCTACCGCAGTTTTCGCTCACGCGGATGCAAAAATGCAGAAAAAAACGCACTGAAAATTGAGCGCCATTCCAGTACGAATGGTATCTTCGCATTGCCATGCTGTGGTGAATCTGCTAGGCAGGTGTTTGCAGGTTTTGTGTTGCATCTTGCGATGGATCTGATGACTCACTGTCCCGACTAAACTACATCTCATCTCATCTCATCTCGGTCAACATGTTGCACCTGTTGGTCTTCACCATAGCTCTGTGCATAGCATATGCGGTCGTGGGTCAACAATATTTATAAGACCTGAGACAACGCCGTAGGTGTTCTGGATTACTTTTCCTCTTGGGGCCCAAGTTCTCGTTACAATATGTTCGACCCACAGCCGAGGAATAATTTGTAGCACAAATGTTGTTGCATGCATTGTATCAAATGGTTCTGCCACGAGCTCTCTTCGACTTGTTCTTCAACATCGATGCCAAGTCTTTCATAGTCTTCCTCCTTGACAAGCCACAAAATGCAACTCAGCAAGCAGCTACGGCTACCTGTCTTGTTCAACTGAATAAGTAATTAATGCAAATTAATTAATGGATCTTCGTTGGCAGTTGTCAGGTTATGCCTAGTATTTTTCTGATATTGCAGAAGTACAAGTTTCCTTGGTCTATAGAGAACCTCGTAAGAATTAGCAGATTAGCAGTCGAGATATGTCGAGATCAGTTTGCATCGAAGGATCATTTGAACCCTTATTCTCTCAGGGTGACACAAAACATACAAAACCTTGTACGCACACCCACTTGAACACATTTGTATACATTTGTCAAAACTCAATTTAACTCAGTCATAACTCGATTCAGCTTAGATTCAGGCTTGGCGGTTCCATGACGGAGAGCCTCTGAACACACTCCTGCGCTGAGGGCCTGTCATAGGCATTTACATGCCATGCCTCAGACAGGAAGTGACGGAGCTCCCGTGTTCCCACGGAAGAGTTCAACGAGGGTCGAGGCTCCTCACCTGCCAAGGGATGATTTTTTCCAACAAGGGTTTCACGGCATTTCCTGCTGTTGCATTGCTGCACATCGCCGGCGCCTGCTCGGTACGCGCGCAAAATCATTCTAGGGTCCTTTCCGAACGAGTAGAAAGGCCTTGGATGGCTGCAACTCCACGGCTTCTCTGCAGGTAATGCAAATATGCACAAGGAAAGGTAGAAGCTACTGCAAGTTTGTTGTCAAGGCACTGCCTTCCTGAAAAAATGAAGTAAATAATCAAGCTGAAAGCATAGATGTCCACTTTCTCGTCATACTGTTCATACCGAACAACCTCCGGAGCCATGTACCTCCAGGTACCAACACCTCCAGACATCTTCGGTGCTTGATCTGTACATGCATACAGCCTGGCAGCAGGTGATGATGCCTCGTCTTACGTATCTGTGTTAATCTTTGTTCTATGGCATTCTCTACGCTGAAGCGTGCCTTTCAAGTCCTTCCTTACAGGTGCATCTAAACTGAATGATGCATATTTTTGCACATCCAACGAAGCGTCGTTGGAGCAAGTACAATAAATGTCTTGATTGCCTGGCATGTCTCCATGGAAGGCGTGAAAGGAAAAGTCAGCAAAATGGCGTAACTCATACGGAAGGCAAACTAAACGAACGTGTCTTTCTTGAGGCCCGTCTGACTCAGTTGCATGGACCGGAATGTCATGACAATCTGAGCAAGGCCTTTGGACGCAATTGGCAAAGTGTTGCAGAGAACCTATCTCTATCATTCTCGAACGCAAAGCAACGCGCCTCGATGGCATCACCTTTGCCAAACCGAAATCACCAATCTTCACCTGCAACCACATGCCAGGCACACTCGACATACCTGAGACTCGAACATGCACTCTTGATTACGTTGTCCTGTTGTTTGAGAGGGGCAAACTCCAACATGTCCAAATTGATGGGGCACCAAGGCCGCCATGGTTTATGATTGGATCATTTTCAATAGGACATGGACCATGGAAGTGAATCCGGAATGTCAACCTTTGTCTGGTCCACCCGCAAATCTGCCATGCGCCTCCAAATCCTTTGTCAGGAACATATTCAACGGCTTCAAGTCCCTGTGGATGATCGGGTGCTCTCGGCCATGCAAATAAGCCAGGGCTGCACCAGTGGACAAAGCCCAACGCATTGCCAAAGCAAATCGTGGCTTCCAGAATCCATCCACGGAAGCGATACGTTGCTTGAGCATGTAGGTCCTTGGTTGGCAGTCAGTCAACATCCGCGGGCCTAGATCATGAAACCACTGAACTGCACCAAATCATTGGCCAAGCACGGTTTTCCTCAATACTCTTCATATGTGTTCATCACCTTTTGATGTTTGGTTGTGAACTACCATTTGCTCCTTCTAGTCTCACTTGATCTTTTTTGTTTTCCATCGTGTCAGTTCAAGTCTGGCTAATGCCGGTACGAGCACTTGGCACTCGGTTATCAAGCCTATTTTGGCTATGCGTTCGCGTGACATCAACATCATGAGTCATGACTGACTAAGGAGGGAACCAGCAAACACAATCCAAGCGCACAGCATTTGTGGACGCAAGCAGATTGAAGCCTACATTCGTGATCACGGACCCATTGTGAACCAGCAAACGCTAAATGCGCAAGCCAGGTCTAGACAGCATCGTAACAGCAGTGATGGGAATTTGTACTTTTCAAAGGAATGCAAGATCTTTATGAATCTTGCAGGGTGTGACCATGCGCAATCGGACAAAGGACGCTACTAGGGGCTCCTGGCCATACTACTAGGAGCAAGGACGCTACTAGATCTACTAGGGGCTTTAGTTTCTTTATTTATTTTAGTTTATTATTTAGTTTGGCTGTGGTCCCCAGTCCCCACTTCACAACTCATCAATACCGCTTTCACATTGGCTGGCTTGCTTGGAGCAAAGCTCAACCAGCATGGCTTAAGTGTGCGCTTTTATTGAGCAGCGGAGCTTGACCTTCATCAGCATAGTCAAAGAACTGCAAGACGGGCAAGCAGCAACAGCCAGTGAGAAGTTTTCAAAGGAATTGCATCGGAAAATGAAACAAACACTCTAAACATGGAACCGGGTTGCAGCGCAGCGTTTGGATAAGGAACGACGACCCAGTGAGGTTTAACGGTTTTGCCTTTGATGCTGTGCTTTAATCGGCTCACCAGGTGGACACCCTGGTCGTTGTTGGAGGAATTTGGATGCTGGTTATCACACATTTGGATACATCGAGAAATCTATTGAGAGAAAGAGAGAAAGGAGAGAGAGAGAGAGAGAGCGCCTCACAGTCGATGTCATTCAGTAATTGTCCTAACCTGAAAATGCACTTGCTGCAGATGCTGGAGTTTTGTATTGTCCAGGAGGCACGACCATCTATATATACCTGCCTCGAAAGGATGACAAGTCGTACAAATAGGTCTTCTGTCTCCGGACTTTCCCTATATAATTTTTTAGACAAAACACTCTTGCTTTGCAGCACCTTCAGGGAACGATGGGAACTCTTGATCTATGGTTCACGTGCTTGTCCATTCAGGCACAAGCTCCTCGCATTTCCTCTTTGCTGTTAATGCATATTGATTCTGATCATGTGCGCCATGCTTGGCGATTACAGTAAACAACATGACAAAAAATGGCGATATTATCTGATATGAATCAATCAGGCATAAAAATCCAATGCTACGCAACACAAAAACCTCGAGTGCCGGCAAGGCTCTCAACATCTTGGTTCTCCATCAATTCTGTGAGCAGAATTGGCGACCTGACGTCAATGCTTGCGCCAATGAGTTGAACCAGGCATGGATGACTGAGCTCGCTGAGAACTTGAATTTCATTCATCAAATCCTTCATCTTCAGCTCATTCTCCTCCTGGCTACACTGCGTGTCCATCTTCAATTGCTTTGCAGCCACAAATCGCCCTTGCCAGCTCGCAATGGACACCGTGCTCTTGCATGTGGTGCAGAGTTCCTTCTTCAGGATCACATCAGCGGGATTCACCCGGCACATTTGGCTCAACTGGCTGCTCATGGACATTGAGCATGCTTGCCTCAAATTTCCTTCATCTTCCAAGGAACTGGCCCGAGTGCTTGCGGGGCTTGTGCTGACAGAGCTCGGAAAAAGGCTTGCATCATGTTGGCCTGAGCCAGCTCCAAAGGGGAGAGTGGCCCCAAAGGACTCAGCGCAAGTTCCAAAGGCAGCAGGCATTGTCTTCGCCTTGATGTTACTTCGCGGCAGGATGACATGCACCGAGGGAGTTCTTGCATCGGGAATAAATCCCGAGTTGGTGATGTCTGCCGTAGTTTCCATTCTGCTCAATCTGCTCATCTTGAAATCTTCACGTTTCCTTCCGGAGTTTGCTGCTTCGCCTGAATGACGGCTCCAGCAAAGGTCAGGCTCCACTTTGTTCACTGTCACAGTGCTACACTCGGCACCCATGATTCAACAAATGGGTAGGTTCGCGGTCGGAGTTGCTTGAACTGATTGACCTGCAAATGTATAATAGACTATACTATACTTCGCAATTAACTCCTTCTCTATTGAAGCAATGATTGCACATTGTTCCAAAACAGGGCTACTTCAACCCAAATCATCCAGCGACGTCCGCCGCTATGCCAAACCTGATTCATTGGCCCTCTGAGATGACTGCACCAGTAAACCCACTTCCGGCCAAGTGCATGTGGAATCACACCAAAATCATGAAACTGCAGTAGGCGGAGCTACTGGAACCCTTCCAACAGCAACTTTTTCACCGCGCATGTCTCTGTGCACGTCTACCATTAACAGTACAGGGTCAAAACTCTACTGGCGAGATTTAGGCTGCTGTCGTCTCCACCACTTTCACCTCCTGCTCCAAAAGCAGCCGCGCGAGCATGCTTGACCATTGGGCCACCAAAACAAGTCGTTACAATCTTCTCAGCAAGTCGAGCCCATGTTCCAATTGTTTTCTTTATGTGGTCCAGTCCACGGTCCACCGTTCGGTGCATTGCGATGGACCGTGTTCCTCTCAGAACGTTCTGTCCTCTCCGTTACCATCTGCTTCACCCTCCGGGGCCGGCTGGTCCCGGAGAATCATGACCTGAACGGCGCCATCGATCCAATCTCACCGGCGGTGCGCAGGTGGTGCGCAACTCCATTCTTGGAGTTCTAATGTTTTCTACTGTTTTCTGAGCATGTTTTCAAGCAAAAAGCATGAGCAAATTGCAGAAGCTCCCATTTCACCCATCCCGGCGTTTGCGAGACAAGCTCCCAGCGTTGCCGTCTGCGTTGACATCCATAAGGATGTGCTCGCCCTCCCGAGTGGGCTCCTGTGTCTCATCCACATCTATGCTGAGGAAAGGCATCTATGTCAAGAAAAGCTCATGAAGGTGAATGCTGCTCGGCGCTCTTTGGCCCAGGAATATGGCCTACAGGAAGCCCTGTCTGAGGAAGCCCAGTCCTTCAAAAATGACTCTGCCAGCTCGTCTTCAACCAATCGCATGATCGCACGGCGCAATGGTCGTGCTCCATAGGTGGGGTTGAATCCCTCATCTACGACCTGCAGGTGCCAACATGTGCCAACGTATTGCTAAAATTAGCCAACATGGAAGATTTCCATCATTGAAGGATAGAAGCAGCACACTGCAAGTTGTAAATCTTGGGTTGCTGTGCTAGATCTTTTTTGAATGGCCTTTTGCTTGAACTTGTCAGTCATCCGCAAGTGGATGCCTTGCAAATCATGATCACAACATCTCAATTCGTTAGTTACCAGTCACCAAAATCTGAGTCAGGAGGGCCGGGCAGTGTGTTGCCCATTGCAATCTTTTGCTAACTACTACTGCAAAGTTTTATGCGATGCCAGAGGAGGCTCTGCTGAGCTGGTACCCCCGCCTCGCTCTTTGGTGCGGCCGAAGGTCTTCTTGAACCTAAGAAGGCCAACAAAACACAACAGGCTAATGCTTAACACATGTTTAAATAATGTTCACCACCACCATCACCACAGCAATATCCGCAACCGGAAGGACACCCAGGCATCAAAGAACCGCAAAAGGACAGTCAAAAGGGACGAACGGTCACAGCCTGGGTCGAACGGTCACAGCCGACGACCGGGCACTCTAAAGAGTTGATTATAGTTGATTCGTAGCACGTTGATCTGCAGCACAGCGACTCCAACTCAGCAATCTGGCTCACTTCTGGCTTGGTGAGTGATCTGAAGACAATGACCTGCATTCGGCACATGGCACGCAAACAAGTGCTCATGTAAACGCAACCGTCAAGAGCAAGCGTGCTCATGGGACCCCTCATGCTTGAGAGGTCTGCCATGCAGGAATGCACATTTGCAGGTCTGGGGCATCATTAATTAAAACATCCTTGGTAAAATGGCTTCTTGCAACAGAATCATAAGCAAAGCAAATCCAAAACCCCAAATGGATGGCTCAAGTCCGGCAATGAGGAAAGTCTACCTAACCACTGAAACATCTGGAAGATTCTGGAAGGACAGGGTCTAGGCAAGGAGAGCCCAACCTCGTCAAGTCGATTCAGGAACTCTGGCTTGAAGAAGTTCTTGAGCCTAAGAACTAAACTATGTGATGCATCATCCATGCTAAAAGCTTAGCCATCCATAGCTGTCTTGCATGTAATCTTCGAAAACTCGTTCGACATCGTTCGACTATATATAATTACTGAACACTTCTCTTCATGAAACGTGCAGCTGAGTCAAAGTTCATCAAAGTTCTATCTTGCAAGAAAGGTGCTCGTCGAAAACAAGGGTCTTCAAGCGCTTGTAGCTGGAGGTTTCCGCATCATCGCCGTCCTCAGTCCGGCGCAAAAAGCATCTCACATCACTCCTAGTAGCGATGCCCTTGTTCCTAGTAGCTTCTTGTTACTAGTAGTAATGCCAGGAGCTACGTTCGTAGCGTCCTTGCTCCTAGTAGCGGTGCCCTTGTTCCTAGCGGCGCATGCGACACGTGCGCCGCATCGCGCCGCGTGCAGGTCCTCAAGGCCGGAGAAGCCAATGCCCCCTCCGCCCTGGATGCCCTTCTCAATGGCCTTGGCGCCTACGTTGGAAGTCCTGAGGTCGCGACCAAAAACCTGAAGAGCACCACAAGGTGGTACTGCCAAGCGGCATGATGATGAGTGCATTTTTGAAGGAAACCACCCGGCCCTTGGAGTCGGTCAGTCGACCATCCTGCAAATGCAAAGATTTAAACTCGCGGCGGTTGAGTAAGTTGGGAAGCCCCCCCCCTGGATTCTTGTCCTACAAGTGCATAATCAGGAATGCGTTAATTACAGTGTGAACTGTGACGTGTCCTCCAAGATTTGAAGCATGAGATTGAAGACATCTGGGTGCGCTTTCTCGACCTCGTCAAACAGCACCAAGCCTCAGTCCCATCTGAAAGTGCGACCGATGGCCCGAAGAAAGGTGCGTCTTGTCTGTGGAAGGTGAAATGGGAGGTTCCAAGGTTGAATGTTTCCCCAGAAGCTCCAAGGTTCCCAAATCTAGTGATTTGTAATTGTACATGACATATCATATATATATATATATCATGACATGACCATGTTCATCATGTGTTTTGTCTCTCTGTGGCCCACTGCGGCCCAAAGACTGTATGGCTTCCTGCGAATGCCATCCGTGAGCTGGCTCTCTTCATCGTAGCCGACGTATCCGGGAGGGCTGCCGATGAGCTTGGACACCGTATGGCGCTCCATGAACTCAGACATATCCAACCGGATCATGGCTTCCTGTCCACCGCACACAACTATATACATATGATACATATGCTCCACGCATCTCAATGCACTCTATGAAGCATAGTCACTTGAACAAACCTCATGAGCCCCTTGGGTTCCCGGTGTTAACAGAATCGGCACTTTCTCTAGTCTGACAATACACTCCCCGCTCCTCCTTGCCGAAGTAAGCAGCAGCAAGAGCTTTGCAAAGCTCTGTTTTGCCCACTCCTAGTTGCTACCAAAGGCAAAATCTGGATCTCACACGTGTTGCTCGAATTGTTGACTGAATGCCGCAAATGCGGCTCGCACGCTCCTGTTGGTCCACAGAAAATGAAGGATGCAATGGGCCGATTTGGATTCTTCCTGAGCTAGTCACATGTGAAAACATTATGTCAAAGGCAAGAGCAAACTTCCTGGAGGAAATTCAATGCCAATATATATATATATGCATAGAAATCCCATCTGAACCCCATCTGAAGGACATACTACATACTTGCACAAGCAGTCCTCTATAAAATGATCGCCTGTGATTCCAATATCTTTTGGACATCTAGAACAATATAATATCTCTATATATATAATTGGTGTCCAACACCCATTTCATAGAGGAAAGTGATGGTCATTTCGTGAGCCTCATGCGCGGAGGATGTATAGTATAGGTATATGTAAAGTTGCAAATATAGTTGTACTTAATCGCAAGTGGAAGTCTGGAAGCTTCTCCGTGGCCCTTGCTGGTGCACTCACTGTGCCAATTCAACGTGCCCAGAAATGAATGGTGCACAAACATGAACAAACAGCATTTGAGTCCTCGAGCACGACATTTCGGACTTGCAAGGCTGCCACAGGAAACAGTAGAAACTCCGCAACCACCCTCGCATCCACATCCAATTGTTATAACATGCCAGGTCCCTGAAATACACTTATTCATGCTTGTTTCTTAGTATATATAAATGCCTTTGTGAGGTATAATAAATAACTAGCACACATACATATATAGAGGGATATGCAAATAGCTTCAGTCTGTTTCGGTGCCAATATGCCTGGAAACGTCGCACTTGGCATCACTTCGGCACCAAGGTGCAGCCCCGCCCGAGCACGTCGCACAGCTTTGGCCACGGCCGTGACGGCTTCGTTTTGGCCAATGACACGGCCGTGGAGGACCTGCGCGTCTGCACCGGCGGTCACAGCAGGTGACCGGCGGTCGGCCATGATACGTTGATGCATCACCTTCTGCAGGGCTATCAAACGAGTCCCCAGAATAGATGGAACAACATGTATCTTCGCTCCAAACACATTGGTACTGTAGCAATAGCTCTTTGAATCGTGGAATGAAGATCCGCGAAACGTTCGATTCTGTTCTATTGTTGCTCCAGTACCTGCACTCGGTCTCAGGCTGGCTTGTGGGGACTCTCATGCTCATACGAGTCAAATCTTTCTTTGAAGCATGCTGTCTGATCTGCAATTATGCCCGTTGTCTGCATTGCTGTTGTCACCGGATGTGCACACTTTTTACATCTTTGCCGCTCGGGCATTGCATGGAACACAGCCTCTAAAATCAATCATCAGACCAAAGACTTCAGTACAATACAACTTCATCCCGCAGTGCAGTGCATCTGGTCTGCAGGGTGACAAAAGATTCCAACGGGAGGAAGTCTCCCCGTGCAACCTGAATGGCACTCTCGGCACTCGAATCATTGTGCTCGCTCGAATCAATTCGATCCAAGCAAACCACCCGAAGTGCGACCCGAAGTGGTCACCTCTATGCCTATGCCAATCTGTACCAGCACAAGAGTCTGCCACACCGACAAGAGCTCGCGAATTAGATAATTAGATGCAATTGTTGGATCATGTCAGATCTTCAACACTTCCAGGTTGCAGCAATTCCCTCCAATGTGGAGGCTTTGCCGCTCTTTGCATTGAAAAACCACTTGAAAAGTTTTCAGGACTCTCGACTTGTCACTGAACTGTGCCAATCCAGGGAGGCCAAGAGTTCCGGTCCATTCCCAAAAGAACAACACATGATATCAAAGTTGTGAAATTATTTGGACACATTCGGACACATGACTGCGTTTCATGACACAAAAAGCGTCCTGAGAAACAACACAGCACTACTATCCTCCCCGTCCAAGGTTCCAAGGCCATGCAAATTTTGCCTTGACCCTGTGATGCCTCTCAGCTTTGAGCCACCGTTTCCACATCCGTATGGTGTCCTTCCTGAGCTGCCAGGCACAGCGCTGGGGTGGCAACACACAAGGAGCAAACATAAGAAGCAACCATGTCAATGTGGCTAGCATCCTGGCTCCTAGTGCTAAGAGACAGGGGTGCGCAAAATCGTGCAAGACCCAAAGCTTTGATGCAACTAGTTGTACATACCAAAAAACAGTTTCATGTACACATGACCTTCTTACTTTGGAAAAAAAATTGCCGTTTTGTTCTGTTGAAAGGGTCTGACATGAATTTATTCGATAATTAATGATTCGCCATGCCCAAACGAGCTCGGGACTCCAAAATCCGATTTAATGGGTCTGACATATTTAAGTTAAATGGATCTAGAATAGACTGTTTCTAAATCCATGTTAGACCTTTGACTTCCAGAGCCTCCAGGTGCACCCATCCCAGACCCTAATATATTTTATAATGTTGTATATTATATATATATGTTTATGCATATATAGATTGGAGAAAACGCAATATATCAAAAAATAGCAAGTCATAACAAGCCATGGTTCATGCAAGGGGGGCCCATGGCTGATAACCGTTCGACGCATTGCTCTGCTGAGGGCCTTCGATGTGGATCACAACTCCAAGCGTAAGGCAAAAAGTCTCGCAGCTCGCAAGTTCCCACTGAGGAGTCAAGAGGTGGACGAGGTTCTTTGCCTCAAACAAGATGCTTATGGTGGAGAAGCTTCTCCATGATACACTATGCTTCTGGTCTCTGAAGACTGACGGCATCATGTGTATCACATGGGACGTGGACTCATCTGAGATGTGCACCTCCAAGGTAGGCCTTCAAAATGGCCTCAGGGTCCTCGCCCAGTGAGTTCCAGGGCCTGTGAGTCATCAGTCATGAGACACATGTCGGGTGTCGGGATACAGAGCTGAGCTTAAATTCTTAGATGCCTGAGCGTTGCAAATCAACTCTCTCCATCGCTATTTAGCTAGGGCACTGCCTTCCTGAGAAAAGCAAATACATGATCAAGCTAAAGGAATAGATGTCCACTTTCTCATCGTATTGCTGTTCTCGCACAACTTCCGGAGCCATGTAACGCCAAGTGCCCACCATTCCGGTCATCTTTGGAGCCGGGCTGGCACAATGCCTTAAGGGTGCCACAGCTGTCTATGAAGTTACCACACATGTCTCAAGTGTGTGTCACAGGCACAATGTCAAGCGGGCACTTTGGGCAACTGAATGGGCCAAAGTCTGTAAAAATAGGTCCGATACTGAGATGAGATAGATCGGGCAACTAAATCAGTAATCCATGAGGTGTTGTTGCATACAAGTTAACAGTCGCCTGCCAGCCATAACCTTGCACAGGCCAAAGTCACCCAATTTCACCTGGAGAGAAACTTTGTCGAAGGATGTCGAAGGGGACATTCATGTTGTGCTGTGCATATAGTGACTCCGAATGCATTTGAACAGTGAGGTTCATTCAACATGTATTGGAAACCGTTTCTATAAATTATTAAATGTTTCTACATTCATTGCGAACTCCCAGAGGTTTCAATGATTGAAACATGCAGCAACCCAAGAAAAAGAAAGCAGGGCAGCTGCTGCAAAAAAAAGGTTGGCCATACAATTCTGCCGCGACGAAAACCACCACGAACAGTTGGTCAGCAAATCATGTGAAACAACCGCGAACAGTCGGCCATCAAAAAGTTCCTCCGACCTCCAAGTCCTTGGAAAGGAACAAATTCAAGGGCTTCACGTCTCGATGGATGATTGGGTGCTTACGGCCGTGCAAGTATGCGAGCGCTCGTCCGGTGGAGAGTGCCCAACGCATGGCAAGCTCAAAGCGTGGCTTGTAGAAATGGTCTTCAGCAACCTGTCGACGCTGTGCCATGTAGCTCCTTGGCTCGTCCTTCCCCAGTAGCTTCTTGTCTATAGTAGTAAGGCCAGGAGCTACGAGTAGCGATGCCCTTTGCTCCTAGTAGCAATGCCCTTTGTTCCTAGGAGCTTCTTACGTCCAAGCATGTTGTTGAGACGTATTGGGACATGACGTGTAAGTATCGTGACAAGTTACGGCTCTTTGATGCTGCATGAGCAGGCGTTGATTTCCGTGGGGGAACAGCAACCCAAATCTAAGCACAACATATCTTACAATGGTTCACCATGTCCCTGAATTGACTGAGTGGCATGATGGCATGAACATTGAGGTAGAATCCAAAGTCAAACCAAGTGTCTCCACATCACGATATTCCAAGAACTCCGTCATCAAGAAGGGTTTTTCGAGCTCCAGATTTGCGCCCAAGAGCTTGACCAAGCATGGATGACTGATCTTGCTCATGACATGAATTTCTCGCATCAGGTCGCGAGTTGCCTTTGAAAACCGCTCGGGATCGTCTTCAGGGTCCAGCATCAACTGCTTCATTGCTACTTTTTGGCCATGCCACTTTCCGATCAAAATCTGGTTCTTTCCTGTGGTGCACAACTGTTTGCGTTGATGTACCTCTCCCGGATCCACCAGAAAGGAGTTTTGGCTCAAGCAGCTGTTCATCAGCTGAAAAGCCTCTGACTCAATCGGTTCATAGCAACAGGACCCCAGGAATTCTTCGAGCCGATCATCCGACCCAGTGCCTCCACTACAAGTACTGCTGTCTGCGCTGCTCGCCACTTTCACATCGTGAGCCACTGGACTCACTGGGCTCACCCCGTCGATCTCGCTGATGTATAAGCAGTCACACATGACATGAACAGCACTAGATCTCACTGGGCCCGAAAGATCCTTGGGCCATAAGGCTGTGAGGGTTCACACGAGGTCTCAGAGTTCATGAGGTTTCTGGAGGGACCCATGGAGGTGTTCGTTTGTCGCAGTGGTCAACGTTTCAAATGGTCGACGATGTTTGCGCACTAACATTGGTCAGTCTTCTTCGAGCGACGCCCTTGTTACCAAATGTTCAAGGATTGTCACCAAATGTCACCAGTTGAGAAAGCCATGTGAGAAAGCCATGTTTCAAGCTGTGGCGAGTGCACTTGTCGAACATGGCCCAGAAGAACATCCCCAGTGATAGAGTATTGGCCGATTGGCCATCCAGGATTCTGAGGACTACCTCGATATACCTTTTGAGGCCAGGACAAGCCTGGAAAAGTACATCGGGCATCCCCACTCTGAAGGGGTGGAAGTTGTGTCCCAATAATGAAGCGGCCTACTTTAAGTGAATCAACGAACCATGATTGTTCTATCGCAGCAGCTCAGTCTGGTGTGGATGTCTCGTGAGACGTATTGTATTGTTGTTGGCTAGCTGGCTGGAGAATTTATCGGCCAAAGACGAACAGGGAGCAGCAATTCCGTACAAATCCGTCATGGTCCCAGCCTCCTCCAATTTCACCAGTCTTGCGCCCTCATCTGAAGACACCTGCAAGCTTGCTGTGCTTGCAGTTTCTTCAGTACACCCAGAAATGTCCAAAGATGCAAAAATGCAAAAACAGTAACATGTGGAGCAAAAAGCACGCTATCATTCCATACCACTCCACCCTTTTCTTCCATGGTCGCTTCGGCTCACAGTCAAACCAAAGAAAAAAGACCCCGATGGAGTCCGTTCTGGACAAGCGGCTATGACCAACTCTGGCCAGTTGTATATACTGTATGAAGGAAGTCCAGGTCGTGCGAAGTCTCGTTCAGTCAAGCCTTTTTCTTGCCCTTGGCTACTTTCTTGGTCAACTTCACTTTTACTTTAACATCCTTTACGTTCTTCTTTTGTTTCTTTCCAGCTTTCTCAGGCTTTGGCACTGCCTTTGGCACGGCCTTTTCGGATGCTGCGGGATCTTTCCCCGCTTCAGTCTCGGGTTTCATGTGGCGTACGCCACGGGGCAAAGCACTGATAAAGACTTCCACGTTCCTTTCCTGCGCGGGAGTGGCCTGAGAATAAACATTCCAGGCACTGAGCAACAATTGCTTCCAATCCTTCTTCATATTAGCCACATCTTTACCGCTTTGAAGGGGAGGAGGTTTTGTCTTATCTCCAGCTCTTTGAATTATGTATTTGCCATTATCCTGCTCGATCACCTGGAGTTTGTCGCAGGACTTCACAAACTTCTTGTACTGGCCAAGCACATCTTTGTACTTTAAGTGCCAGTTTGACAGGACAAAGGCACCGCTCTTCTGGGCATCAGGTACTGCGATCTTTTTCAGAATCTCCTCGGCGGCTTCTGCAGCAAGTGCAGCCTTGTCCTTCTCAGATGATTTAACACTCTCCACGCTCTCCGCCTTTGGTGCCTTGTGTTGGACCTTTCTTGCAGTCTTTCCTGAGGTTACATCTTCTTCAGGAGGCGCCTTGCCGTCTTCAGCTTTCACAGCCTTCAATGACTTCGGCTTTGGAGAGACCTTTGGAGATCCGTCAGTGTCCGCCTTTGAGATGTTGTTTTTTTTCTTGAGTGACGACTTCTTGACTTTCTTTACCATGGCAGAAGAAATAGCTAAGGCTAAGGTCTGATGAACAATTGCTCTGTGAGATGAGCGAGAGCAGACTACATGCCAAATACATTTGGCTTGGCACTATCTGATCCATCATGGTTGCATTAGATTAGATATGATACAACCCGCATGATTACACAAACAAAGCGGCTCTTGTGAACGAGGTGTGGCTTTTGGAATCTTTTGGGCATGATGTGCTCACCTTGCTGGTTTGGTTTGAGCAAGCTTGCAAAGCGGATCAAACGCTGGACGCAATCTCAGCACCACGTCCACCATGCGTGAAGCCGACAGCCAAAGCTTCCTGGCCTTTTCCACTGGAACTCCGGTCCACTTGGAGACAACAGCAGCAACATCTGCCTATGCCAGCTGAACGTGCAGGTGTTCTTATGCAGCAAATGGGACTTGACCGGCAAACTAATCCATGCATATGTATCATACGTACCAAACTTCCTGGAACACAAAAAAGGAACCGCGAAGAAAGGATGGATTCAATCAACCAAGAACAAAGTAACATCAATGACGCGGAAGTGCCTCTGTCACCAGAATCTCCTTACGAGGCTTGTCCTCAACGTCGTCCTGATGCTAAGGCTTTAAGTTGAACAACAAGTTCCAAGCTAAGCATACAGTTCATGCTGGTTTGCCGGACGTGCAATGCACCAAAGCACTTCCTATCGACCTCTGCGTTAAATGTACAACGCTGGCATTGCTACATCTATCCTGCCTCATCATCCTCATCATCAGCAAGGCTGGCCTTGGATTCGCTGATGATGCTCTTGATCTTGGCTCTCAAGCCTGCTTCCTCATCATGCAGCTGCAGCTGGCAAGTCCAAGCAATGGGCAGGTAGGGTTGTAAGTTGTATATAAGACCGTTTAAGGGGATTTCCAACATCTCTGTGCACAGGTTCCTGTCCTCGGCCTTCAGCTCACCTGCCAACTCATAGTTTTGATTCCTCACCGCTTCTTCCTTCCAAGATCGCTGCAACTTCTACATCCCCAAGTCATCACAGTCATCCATCTGTGAAATTGAAAATGGGGAGGGGGGAAACGGGAAACCGGGAAGCAATCTATTTTTGTAGTACTGCCATCAGTTTGCATCCGTCAACATGCTGCAATTGCTTCCTAGAGAGGGAGAGAAGGAGAGGGAGAGAGAGATAGATATAGAGAGAGAGAGCGCGAGAGCGAAAGAGCGAGAGAGCGAGAAACAAAGGGGCGCACAGTATCAAACACTGCACAAAAGCTTTGGGTCCTTGCTTCCCATGACCTCCTTGAGTTTCTGCTGCGCTTCTTTGGCCTCCTCTGGAAGAATGGAAGATTCGCGCAGCCGCACACGAGCGCCAGTCTCATCAAGGACATCAATGGCCTGTCAGGTCGAGCTTCAGTGAGTGCATCTGGGATTTTCGGCGGTTGGTGTGCAACGTGTGCCAACTGGTCCCCACTGTGTGGCGTGGGGAAGGCCAAGGGGCCAAAAAAACTAATCCTTGGCACGTTTTGCCGACATATTTCTTAGTGCCACCTCTTAGAGGTCGTCTGTAGCTCGCGCCTTGTCGGGTAGGAATCTGTCTTGAATATATTGTGAGGCAAACTTCACACATGCAGCCAGTGCTTCGTCGGTGTATTTGAGCTTGTGGTGCTCCTGGGGGGTGTCATGTCTTGCAATATTACTATATACACATCAAAAATTCCCGTTCGCATGGGCAGGCAGGGAGGCTTGCAGCAGCGATCGTTACAACAGAGAAGTGAGCCAAAAAAAACAGGGAGTGGCAAGCTTCCCAAAAGATCCCTGCCAACGCGTTGAAAGTCCTGACTCTCCGACTCTCCCATACATGGTTGAGTTTTCTTGGAGCGCTGTTTCAGCTTAGGGTGCCCATTTTTTGCTTGTCACCCAAGAAATCAGCCAGTGCAGGTCTGATTTGTGTCAGCCTGCTACTAATGGAGAGGCATGACGAACCGAGATGAAACGTGGTTTCATGCAAGGTGAACCAGTAAGCCCGCATACAGTAGCAACTCCACATTTAAGAACAAGATAGAACAAGTCTGTAAATGTGTTTTGGTGATGTGCTTTTTGATCCTGTCCCCCAAGGCCACGCGGTCGGGATGCGACTTTACACAAGTTGATGCGACTTAAGTCTACCCCCCTGTATGAGATCTGTGCGAGTTCAAGGATGTTCAAGTAGTCATGTGTTTGC